GCGATTCATAATCGAATCGATAAAAATATTTCCACCTTTAAATACAAATTTATCGAAATATATTTTTCGAACCGTGTACCTTTCAATTCTGATTATCAAGCGAGAGAAAATCTAAACGATTGTATGGATCACGACGAATTATAATTTCGTGAAGCGGAATGCCGATAACAGATTAATATGTATATTCTACGGAATAATTATCTCATGCCCAGTATAAATATTATAAAATTAATTACAAGTCGATCATTGAACAACAATTGAACTCGAAATTAACGAATAATTAATCTGTCAATAGTATCCAATCTCTAATTCTTTCGTATTATTCGAGCTTGATTACAATAAATATTAAAAAAAAAAATTTCGTTCACAAAATTCTTTTCAATCAACGCCAATTATCTGAAGCGTATTCAATCATTCGGGCGAATATTTCTTATTTACAAACGATATTTAAAAAAAAGAAAAAAATACAACGATAAGGAAAAAAATAATATTCGAAAATTGAGCCAACTGAAAACGTACCGAAATTGTCGAAATTAACCGCACGCGATAAATAATAATAAATGAAGGGTCGAATCGAGGTAAACAGCGCGCATAAGCCTGGATCCGTTGGCGAGGATTTCTCGTTACGGGGCGGTGTTCAGTGTTGCTTAAACAACCAACAACGACGTATATATAACAGCGTTGGTCGCGAGATAATTTAAAGTCCCTTTAAGGTCGGTCAGTCCGGGGGAACTGGGGCGGTTTCCATTAAATCCTCGTTTGCGCGAGAACGGATCCGAGGGGAGGGGTAAAAAAGCAGACGGGTTAAAAGGCCCTCGAATCTTGATCTCATTTGCGTAAGTGCTGTTGTTCAATCTGAACCGTGCAACGATATTCAACGATGTATACGTATAAATTCTTTTTCCCCCGTCTTGGAAAGAAAAATTATTCATTGGATGAAAAGAAAGAAGTACTTTTCTTGGTGTGACGTCAGAGGAAACGAAAGATTTGTTTTCCTTCTCTCGAGTTGGAGGTTCTAAAAAGTTGTATCTAGTAAGAAAATCGAATTTTTATTAATTATATTCGTTAAAATTTTAAGTTTAACGATGTAGATACGTTACAATCGAACGAAATCCTGTTGAATATATAAAATAAAAAGTATCGAAAGATTATTGATTAAACGTTATTGAAAAACGTTTGGCCTAAGATAAATATTTTATAATAATTCTACTCTGTAAACGAACGTTGCACGTTTGTTGATCTGAAAATATTATTGACAAACCATCGAGGTATTAAAGGAAAATTGTTACGACCGATCATAAACTCGCGGTTGATTAAAATCTCTCCCCGTTACAATTCGTTCCAAGGACGCGTAGATAAGCGTAGATACTTGTGCACTTGACGACGAATATAATATTGGAAACGGTGTCACGCGCAAGCGGCGGGGAAGCTTGTTGTTGCGAAACAGCGCATCATGGCTGACAGACTGCGCGTAAACGCAATCGACGACGCGAAACGGAACGAAAGAGTCCGATTTTATGGACGATTTTATTTTTCAAAATTTCATCGAATCCACGACACGATCACAAAAGAGCATTTTAGAAATTATTACGTTTGTATTATGTTTCGTTTCTAAAGATGAAAAGTGTTTTACGGGACAGGAAAATCATCTTGGAATATTTTAATTGAGAGAATTTTCGATGAAGAAGAATCTTCAATTTAAACCTTCCCTATTATGTATCGATAAAATCTCGTACACGTGTTATCTAATCCAGGAAAGTGAACAAACACGAAACTATGTAAATTATGCAAACACGGACAATGCGTTTTCGTGCAACCGTCTACCCTTCTCGTTCGACCTCAAATTAAAGGATACTGTTTGAATTAGAATAATTGGTTCTCTTCTCCGTACAGAAAATTTTTAATCGTATATTCGATGATAAAATGATAAATTTTTAATATCTAATAGGATCATGAATTTTCTTCGCGAATAGAAAAAAAGAAAAACTGAGAACGAGCGATCGCCTCTTTTCAGATATAAATTCTGTGGCTCGTTGCCCAATCATCTGGACGACAAGGACGCGTTGGACGACGATCCGAAGGAAAATAATAACGTAATGACGGATACCATCAGTGGGAATCTTGGTGGAACATTGCCACACAAGAAACGATCGTTGGGCGTGCATTTCTCAGACGGGGGACCGACTGGAACTCTGGACCTCGTAAAACATCGATCCCAAGATTCTTTGGATGAAAACGATCCTTGGAGGTATGCCATCGCTCATGTAGCTTAGCTTCCTCTTAGCATAAACGAATCTACGAAAGTAGTGTAAATTGCATCTTAAACGAATTTGTTAGTAACAAACTTGAAACTTTTTTCATCGTATTGTAAAATAAATACTAGAAAAATTTTGCAATTTGAAAATGAAATATATATATATATATATATATAGTTACGCTAGCATTGCAGTTGTGCGTAGATTTAATTAAAGAGAAAGTTTGATTGGATGAATGTTCGTTTAAAAACTTATTAATAATTTTTATCGAGATTAACGTCGTACGAAGATTATTTATATAACAATCCACCGAGCAAAAATCTATAAATCACTTTACTCCGTTCCGACCTGTAACGAATTATAATCAAAATCTCGCGCGCTAAACTGATCGATAATTTGGGTTGCAGGTATCAGCAAAGCGATCTCGACCTGGTGCGATGCCGTCACGGTAACTTCGACTCGGTGAGAAGAAATCGGAATGCGGACGCGATGTGCGGCGATTCGACGAGAAGGTACAGCCGAGGCACGTCCCTGGAGGACAGATGTCACCGAAATTCGGAACTGGATCTGGTGGGCACGCTGCCTAAACGGAAGCAGGACACGAGAAACGGCGGGGCGAAGGCAACGAACGTGGAAACGAACTCTTCGCAACCGTGCGTCCCAGACGCGGCCGACAACGATCTATTGATGCAGATCGTGCACAAGCCCGATTGCGAGTTGGTCAGGCATCGGCAACAGCTCGGCAAGTGCATCGATTTGAAGTTGAGCAAACTGGCCGGCGGGGAACCGCAGGATCAAGGTTACGCCTCGGAACGGTCTCCGGAGGACGAGCATCCGCCTCTTTGCCGGGCCAACCCTTCCCGAATATCACGCCTGGTGAGTTCACGTTCTCCATTTTCGTCCTCGAGTTAAATTCGAGTAGTTTCGAATTCGGATTGATAAATCGTTAAATGTTTTGCTCAGAGTTTTTACAGGATGATGGAATATTAAAATTGGAATGTTTTATTCGCGTAGAGAGCGTTGATGTATTCGAAAGATCGGGATGGAATTATCTCACTTCATAAATGTCCAACATATTAATATTCTCTATTGAAATTTCTGATGAAAGGAAATTTATAATTGCAACTTATAATTTGAAAGGAAATAAGGTGGATAAAGAGGCAAGGTTCGAACGACATCACAGTACAAATACCCTATGATCAAGATAAAATGGCTGTCGCGCAAAGTTTCAACAAACAACGAAACAAAAAGACACGCAAACGTATCTTTATGCTTTTCCCCTAGTTTCCTTTTTTTAGTGACCCCTAGATCTCTTCTTACGCGAAACTCATCCGGTTTCTCAATTTCGCAATTTCTCTCCCATTCGATCATTTCAAAACTTTTTTCTTCTTCATATCATCTCTTTTTCCTTTGCATTCGATATCTCTATATCGAACTTGATCCGTTCTATTAATCCTTCTTATTTCTTCGCTTGTTTATTTCTTAAACCGCCCAGTTTTTTCCGGTATACTCACTTTCCCTCCACTTTCATCATTCATTTTTACGTATCTTTCGAATAATTTCTTCTTTCCAGATCACCCTGTAATTTTCCTTCCTTCGCCTTTGCCCCGGTTTTCTTTCTATTCACAGTATTATTCAACTTCTTTCCACGAAAGTTCTTTCATCCCCCTTCCCATTGGCAGGCTTCTCTTTACCATTGTTCGATAACTTTGTTGGCTTTCCAATCTGTTTGCCCAACCCCTCTTTCCTGCTTTTTTCACCCCTCTACCCAGTTTTCCATATCGCTTTGTAATGTGAACCTCGTATATGTGTGTGTCGTCCTTTCAACTTTTTTTTTTCATTCGTAATTTAATAATCAACGCGATACTGATCAACACTCGTAGAAAAATCACTATAATTACATATTTAAAGATTCGTTCAATCGGAAATTATTTAATTTCCATTTTAGATTAGATTTCGAATTTTCTCAAAAATATTTCACTCGTTGCCTAAGATATATTTTCACGAGGAGAGCGATTGAAATATTTGTATTTCTCCGAAATATAAATTGACGAAACAAGAAGATAGAAGAAAAGTTGGACAGAAACAGACACTTCCCTTTAATCCATCGAGCCCAATATCCACCTCAGAATCCATCTCTATCATACATTCCACACCCGTTTCGAACGCTCGATCCTCGAACCCGTTAAATTCCCCAACGCTTCTTCAAACTCGATCACAATTGCACACGTTCCCTCGTTTTTGCACCAAAAGCTTCCAGCTTAATGAGCAGGGTTGAAACACGGGCAACGTTGCAAAGTTTCGTCCCGTAATCTCAAAACCGTCTCGAGGCTCCCTTATTTCCCCGCCTTTTTCTTCTCGAGCACAATTCTCTCCGCTCGTTAAGGCTCTATCGTTTTACATCACCGCTCGCGAGCTTTTCGGTCTGCATCGAGTAGGGATACCGCGATGGTGGAAATCGAGGTTGGAGGACACTTTTGTCGCGGATAAGGCGCGGCAGGTATCTCGTGGCGGTGATAGGCGGCGAAATGCGCGTCGAATTCGAGCCGCTTTGTCGCGAGCTTAAAATTGAATGCGCGGCCCCCCTCAAACCACCTTACATCCTCTATCCATCTTCGATTTTTCCACGGTAATCTGTTTCCAATGGAAGGAGATGCTTTGAGAGGCACGTAATAACCGTTTGCTGCTCCCGAGAATTTCTTCTCTTTTCTTTTTTTTTTTTCTTCAGTTTCTTTCGTTTCGGATGTGAATCCGAATCTCGAGAAACTCGTCGAAATGTTTTTTTTTTCTTTGAATCCTAGATTGATGCAGCAATTCGAACGGCAATATTTATTTATGTTATTGATTTTTTTTTAAAATATCGCTTCATGAATAGATTCCTAAGTTAATTTAAGTATAATCTTATAAAGGGTAGAATAAGCGTGATCTCGGATCGAATTATTTTCCGCGTTAGTCCGAGTTTGATATTCGTGGCTTCGATTGAAATATTATTTTCAAAGTTTTGTAAGCGTGTGAATGAAATTAGTTCAAGTGGGGACGAGTTTGATTTCTTGAGTTATTGAATAACGAAATGATTTCATTCTATTCATTAAGAAAATAGTAATGAAAATTGAGATTCCGTAAGAGAAGGTGAAAAATAAGAATAATAGACTGTGAATGTGAGACCAAGTTATTGGGATATTAGTTCAAGATGAATTTTTCGTTATTAAATAATGAAATTATTCATTAAGAAATTGACAATAGAGAGAAGGAAAATAGTGACAAAAATAGAGATTTTGTATAAGAAGATGAAAAATAAGAATAATAGACAATAAATGAGAATACGTTATCATAGGTTTGTAACGATATTTTATCGATATTTTATTTGCCCTGACAAACCGAGGATGCTTCTTAGTAATTACTTTACTATTAAAATATCACACAACAATATATATATATATTTTTAATATTCAACAATTTAATATTCAATAAATTATCTCTCTTTATACGTAAAGATAGATAAAATATTAAAATATAAAAGTTTTATACGTGAAATCATTTTAAGTTAGCTAAGAAATTCATGGAACCGGATGCGACAAATCGTCTGGAGTTGTTTTTCGCCCGAACGAAGAACACCCAGAGTGCAAAACGTTGAAAATTAAAAAAAGAATTAATTGGAATAACGTATCACAATAATAATAATAATAATAATTCTTGGTAAGATAATGCGTTCGAAGGATGAATTACACAATTACTCGTGAATATTATTCAATTCGCGAAGAAGGTGGATAAATTTGAATATCCGCGCCGCTTTTGATGCAAAGGCTATACGTCTGATATCTCATTTCGTCGTGCGCGAACAACAAGGTACGGGCGTGTAGGCCTTTGGACAGGTGGGTGGCCGTACGTTGACACGGCAAATATATATTTGCGGGGGCGCAAAACTTGCCACGGCCGATAACAATCCGGAAATCGAACGTTGTGGAAACGGGGACACCTGTATTCCCCTGTTCGCCACTCCCAATCTTACCTCCAACTTTATTCGCCTGTCGATGCCGCGTTGTCGTCTTTGTCGTCGAGAGAGAATAGCAGGCGGGCAAAAGTTTGATCCTGCGAGCGCGTCTTAGACGAAACCGAGTTCGAATGGGAATTTGCAACGAAATTAAATTGCGAATAAATGGTTAAGGAATGGATGAAATGGAATTTTAGAGAGTGTTGGTACGATGGATAGTAAAATGATAGAATTTTTGCCTGACCACGTTGTCTAAGAGGATAGAATAAGGAATAAAGCGAACTATATGAAAATTGGCCATTCTTTTTATTGAATTAATTAACATTGTACGATAATTTTATTTTATCATATTTCCTATGTTTTTAGATGGTAGAAAGATAGAGGAAAATAAAAGGTTGGCTCGCTTGCATGGAGATAGACAAATAAGAGATAAAATTTCGTTTGAAAACAATCTAAAATCAAACTATTAATCGAATGATATTGTTCAAGTATAAAGTAACGGAGCAAACAAAACGGTAATTTTATCCGATGGCATTAAATACGGCGTCCAATAAAAATTCAGTTTGATAATTGATTTTTTAACGAGTGTTTAAACTTCTCTCCAAATAAATATTCCAATACACCTTTACAACTTATTCAACTATACGAGCGAAACTATAATATCCTTTTTTTCTCTCTCAACGCGAATAAACAATCCTGAAAGCATAAATCCTTTCACGGATAATCAATCTTCAAACATCCTACGCCGGCGTCCATCGTACGTACTCGCGCACGTGCATCGCGTTTCTCGAGAGAAAAGAAAAAAAAAAAAGAAAAAGAAAGGAAGAATCGCCTGTTTCCCTCGCCCTTAATACATTCATCCCGAAACGTTATCGAACCTTCCTTCCATTCCCATTTTGCACGAATAACAACAACAACAACAACAACAACAACAACAACGAACAAACCAAAAAAAGAAAAATCGAAAACGAAATTATAACACGAATTATAAATATCGCGAGGAATCCCTCTCCCCGGTGCGCGATCATTAATCACCCGTGGCCCGGCTGTTATAATAAAGTTATAAATTACACGGGCGAAAATGCGATCGAGAACGGTGCATATCCGCGCAGAGAGAGAGAGAGAGAGAGAGAGAGAGAGAGAGAGAGAGAGAGAGAGAGAGAGAGAGAGAGAA